AGCACTGCCCACTGCCTCGGGAGCATGAGCTCCGGTTACTTCCTAATACCCAGTTCCCGCCTCAAGTTGCCACAACCTCCACTTGGCAGTAGCCAACATCAGACAATCCCTCACAATTTTCCATTTTTTATCTGCATACATATCATACACTCTCAGCAGAATGCTTTGTATACCCAGAATAGTACATAGTATGTGGCCCATCATAATTAATAAAGGCTAATTAAACTGAATTTTTTAAAGTACCAATAAAGCTTTTTGCACATAAAAGAATAGCTAGTATTTATATTTGTAAATGTTTTAGCACAGTGTCTGCCACATAGTAGGCACTTCATAAATGTTTATTGATTTATGTTAATTAATTAGATCCTTACAACAACCCTGTAAAATAGGTGCTATTATTATCCCTACTTTATAGATGAGAATACTGAAGCATGGAGAAGTGACTTATGAAGTTAAGCGAACTAGTATCTCAGGCAGAATTGGAACTCAGGTCTTCATGACTCGGGAAGTCCCGGATTCTATGACATTGTGCCACCTAAGTGCCGCATTTCTTGTTTTATAAAAATCCAGTAGGGGGCAGCTAGGTGGTGCAGTGGATAGAGCACCAGCCCTGAAGTCTGGAGGACCTGAGTTCAAATGCAGCCTCAGACCAAATACTTGACACTAGCTGTGTGACTCTGGGCAAGTCACTTAACCCCAATTGCCTTAACCAAAAAAAAAAAAAATTGAGTACTGTGTAATCTTCATGATTCCTTACAGCTCTAAATCCTAAAATTTCATAGCTCAAATGAAAGCTAGATGGGAAAATTGAGGTACAGAAAGGGTGGTGAGATTACTTGCTTGGAACCACACAGCAGGCTCACTACACTTAATCCAACATAAAATATTGGCTCTTTAAACATTGCTCAAATAATCCAATCAGAAATAATAGTCTGTAATCTAGCATAAGCTTTGAGAAAAAGAGAGCCTAATGGGCATGCTAACTATTCCTCTATCATAAGTTTCCTAACCTGAGGTCCACGAATTTTTTTTAATATGTTCAGAACTGTATTTCCATATACTTCCTTTGAAATCTAATGTATTTTATTTTATGCATTTAATAGCATTATTCTGAGAGGAGAATTTCACCAAATTCTTTTTCACCAAATTGCCAGAGGGGGTCGTGATAAAAAAAAAAAAAGTTAAGAATCTTTGCTCCAAATTCTTCCCCCTTAATCTCATTTAAATGAGAAGGTCAGAAAGTTACTTACCTGGACTAAAGCATCTTAGATCCCTTAAAAAAAAAGTTCTTTCTGGGATTTAAGATATCATGATATGTCCTCATCTTTCATAAGGCATCTCTATCAAAAGCGTCTCCTTAACCAACATTTCTGGAAATATGCAACTGAACAAAGGAATAGAACCGCTTTGAAAGTTAAAGTGTTGAGTTTATTATACACTTAAAAGGAAAAGTAATTGGTAGGTAGAGATGCCCAGCTTCGTGCGTAATCTGCTTTTCCCATTTAACTCGGCATGTGGAAATGCTCGTTTTATTTCGTGCTTGAGTTTAGAACTTTTTTTTTTGATGTCGTTGAAAATAAACCATTGTGTTGCCCATGCATCCACGACACCAAATGCCTTTTAGAATCCAGGGGTAGGTCAAAGTCAGTCTCTCCAGACCAGTTTTTATTCTTCCTTTTATCTATCAATGAAAAGGGGGAGGTGGAGGGGGTTTTCCTTTTGGAGGTCAGGAAGCTCAGGGCTCAAGCAAAAGCCCATTCATTCACCTCAGGAGCCACGGAGTATAGATTTCTCTTCTCCTTTTAGCTTTTTTTTTTTAATCATACAACCCTAGAGTTGTATCACACAGCCTGTAATTAAGTCTGAGGGACCCAAGAGATCTGGTGCAAACTCTTCTAAAAAATGAGGGGCCCCGGGTTCCCCAGGCACGCGAACACAGCTAGCTACTTTTCGTTTAATAGTCCATTTATAATCCACGTTTTAACTTGTGAGGCTGCTCAAATACTTTTCGGAAATAGCCGTGACCGAAAACATAAATTACATCAGCAAGCCCACGGTAAAGGAGTAAATAACAGAGGAAAGAAAGGACAGCCTCTAGCTTACTGTCGCACAGCAACCCACCGAGACGCACACTCGAGAACTGGAGGACGCAGCACGTCAGCCCCGCCTCCTTGTCATGTGACAGCACCTCTCCTCCTACTCCCCCTCCACCCCTCCCGCCTGCCCCGTCCCACCCTGCTCCTCTCCGCCGGGCGCTTAGGGCTCTGATTGACTGAAGCGAGAACCAATGACAAGGCAGGAGTTGCCCTATCCACGCGAAGCCTCGGAAGAGGGCGGGTCCCTAGTAGGGGATTGGCTAATGCAGGGCTCCGTCCCTCTGTCTCTCCTCCCCCCCCACCTCCACCCCCTTCCCGTCAGCTTCCCCTCTCGGCCTTAGGTTCTGAGGGTTTGCGGGAAGCGCTACGTCTGAAGCCCGGGTGGGTTCGTGGGAGGCAGTAAGCCCGGTTCTCCAAGCCCGCTCCCGTTCTCTCGGGACTGACAACTGCTTCCCCGCCCCTCCCCAGGGCCTGGGACTCGAGGAGAAGGAAGGCGGAGGACCTTGGGGGAGGGGAGGAAAGACCAGAAAGTCCAGTCCTGGGGAGGAGGGGTGGAGCACGTGGGAGACAGTTCCCGCGTAGAACGAGCGGGAGCGAGCACGTGGAAGGGGAGCCCACGTCGGGAGTGGTGGAGCAGGTAAGCTGGGCCCCCGCAGAGCGTGGGTAGGGCGTTGCTAAACGTTGAGAGGCGCTCAGCGCCGTGGATCCAAACTTTTTTTGTTGTGTCTTTCCTTTCCCACGCGGAGAGTTGCTTCCTGCAGGGGAGGCTCCCCAGCCCTGGCCCTGCGCCCACGCGCGGCTGGCGGAAATCGGCACAGCCCCGACCCCGAGCGGTGACTGTCTGGAAGCGGACTTCGGCGGAGGCAGCCCGGCGGGGCGGGGAGAGAGGGGGCGGGGTCTGAAAGGCCCTAATTAACGCTTGTATACGGGAGATTTCAGGAACTGAACCAGAAAACTTACCCCAAAACAAACCAGGACCAACAGACGGCTCAAGTTCCTGGAAGGGGGGAAAAAAAAAAAAAGAACCATCCGGGCCAAGTTCAAGTTCAAAACCAACCCCTGGTGAAGCTAGTCGGCTATTTTTCGATCTAGGCGGCAGGGCATGCTTTGGACGAGCTTGACCGGAGCGCTTGTTGGCCCTGGGCTTCAGCTACGCCAGGGTCGTTTTGTTGGCCCACCTCTTCACCCTTCATTTCCACGATTTTATTTACCATATTCATAGGGAGCCCCCTTTTAAATGGTCAGCAAAGGGATACTGCCTTGGACTGAGGAACGAAATAATGGACTTTCTTTTATGTCTTCCAGTGCCAAGCACAGTAGCTTGTATATAATAAGACATCTAATAAATATTGGATGGATTGCTTTTCCAAGTTCATTTCAGCAAATTAATTTAAGAAAGCTGTGCTCCCAGCTGGAGCCATAAATCAGTACAGATTTTTTAATTCTTGAATTTTTACTGTATGAGGGTAATAGAGTACGTGGTGCATAGGAAGTATTTGTTGACTTAGAAGAATTGTGTTCAAATCACTTAATAACTGTGTTCTTTAGGGACAGCTTGGTGACACAGTAGATAAAGTGCTGAGCCTGGATTCAGTTCAAATGGCGCCTGAAGACATTAGCTGTGTGATCTTGAGCAAGTCACTTAATCTCTGTCTGCCTTAGTTTCCTCAACTATAAACAAATGTAAAATAGGGGTTTTAATTGGACCTGTTTCAGGAGACTGTTGTTATATTTGTAAAGCACCTAGCCCTTAACACTCAAGGTTCAATTACTTAACCTTTCTTAAGTGTAAAAGGGGGATTGTGTATGTAATACCTACTTCTTATAGAGCTGTGGTATAGACTTAGGAATGGGCAGTTAGGAGGTGCAGTGGATAGAGCAGGCCTGGAGTCAAGAACGTTTATCCTCCTGAGTTCAGAATTGACCTTAGATACTAGCTATAAGATCCTGAGCAAGTCACTTAACCTTGTTGGCCTCAGTTCCTCATCTGTTAGATGAACTGGAGAAGGAAATGGCAAGCTGCTCTAGTATCTTTGCCAAGAAAACCCCAAATGAGGTCACAAAGAGTTGGACACAACTGAAATGACTTAACAACAGCAGACTTAGGAATGTAGACTTAGAAACTTGTCTTTAAAAAGAGTGTGGTAAAGTGGGAAGAGCTGCCACTTTGTATTTGTGCAACCTTGGGCAAGTTACTTATACTCTCTCTTTTTTCCTTTTTTTTTTGCAATTAGGGTTAAGTGACTTGCCCGGGGTCACACAGCTGGTAAGTGTCAAGTGTTTGGTCTGAAGCCACCTAGCTGCCCCAGGTTCTTTATCTTTAAATTGTGGGAGTTGAACTCAGTGACCTCTAATGTCCCTTTGAGCTTTAAATCCATGATCTCTTGTGAAAAGAATGTGAAGAAGGCCCCAGACATGTTAAGTAGACCCTTAGGTGAACTTATAGAGAATATGGAAAAGAATTACATGAAATAAGCAAACCCAGATGTATTGTGATCTGCATTGCTGAAGGAAGCAGCCACCTCAGTAATTCCATTGAAATATTAGGATACCCCCATCATAATGCCTTGTAAATTGCAGGCACTTAAAGGCCTGTTCTTACTTGAAGAACAATCCACTTAAAAAATAATAACATATATAACCTATGTTACATATGATATATATTATAATATTTTTTAAATAATGATATAACAATCACAGCTAGTATTTATATAATGCTTTAAGGTTTTCAGAGTGCCTTACATATATGTTAATATACACATGTATTCAGGGACTGGTTGATTTGTAGGTTATCTTTATCCTTTATGTTTATTCTCTCTAGCCTGCCTAACCAGCCTAAGGGTGAGTGTGGGAAAAGGTTGGGAGTTATGTGTGGATTGTAGTTGTTCATGCTAGACAGTTAATCATTTCCATTAAAACAGTGTTTCCCGTTCTCTAGGTAATGTTGGAGCAGGTTAGAGATCAGGGATCCAGACATCTTACAGGGGTGAAGGAAGATGACAGTGTGAGCATGAGGTGTGCCGTGTACATGATGTCAGGTACTCAAAGTGTCTGTTTCTTTCTTTCTTTGAACAGAAATGAAGAAGAGAAGCTCATACAGCAGGGAGAAATATGGGAGAAACAGTTACTGGCAGAGCAGTGCCTGTCGCTGGAACAGAAGGCGGAGTTCTAATGAAAGGCAGGTGTAATGGTGGGAGTCAGCCTCATGCCCGGTCTCTTTTCAGTCTTGGCTATGCTTAAGGGTGGTGCTGGGCTCCTTATTTGCATTTGGAATGTTTTTTTTTTTTCCTTTAGGCTGTAACTGTTGTCTACAAGAAGTTAGAAATAAAAGTGACACCAGTTGCCTTCAGAAAACTTTTCTTGGTTAGAAGTATTTGTTATTTTGCAGCCAGAAATACAATCTTCTAGGAACCTAAATTCATCCGTTCAAAAATGGTCTGAGAAAGACTGCAAGATCTTTGCCCTTCAGGCAGAATTATCCTAGAGAAAAATGAATAAACATGGAATATAAGAGTTCAATGGCATCACCAAACTCGAATACATTTACCTTCTCTGTTTCCACTCATTCCACCCAGTTCTGTCATAAAGAAAAATTGATTACTATACCACAGAACGGAAGGGTTTGTAACTATGATTGAAGTCACCACTTTTTCAGATATACAGATAGTCCTATGTCCTTTACGTCAACAAACAAGTGTATATGTTGGTCATGAGGTAATAAAGGCAGACTTCACAACACCTCCTTCTGAAAGATTCCCAACGGGAACAATCCTATCAATTTTAGAACATTTCCACCTACCAGACTGCTTTTGTTAGAATGAACAGATCTTTAACATTAGAGTTGGTAACAATGTAAAGTGTCAGCCCCACGAAAGTATTTCTCTCCAACAGTAATAGACAGATCCACAGGCAGTTAATGTAACAACGTAGCCTCCTCAAATCAATCCCATGGTGAAATTTTAAAAGCATGCCAATTAGTAACACTTGTATAGAAAAATTAATCAGTGTTTACATAATAGAATAACCTGGGTGTGCTTGGGACAAAGACCTAGGAGGGTATTATGAAAGCCTAATAGACCATCAGACTTTTGGGACTGCAAAAGGCAAGGGTTAAAGTCACTGGAAAAGGGAATGTATAGCCTGTGTCTTCTGTTTCTCATCACAGAACAGGTTGGAAAAATTTGGAGCTAGATATTTTTCCTGTAGTTGTCTAGATTGCCACTAAAGAAAAAAAAGTCTTCATTTCCTTGGCTTCATTATTGCTAAGGGCAGGGACAATTTTTTAGTGTACTTGATACTTATAATGTAATTAACCATGATTCTTAAGGCTTTTTGTTTTATCATCTTCTCATAAACTCTTTATTTTACAGATGAAAGATCTAGGTCCCAGGGAGGGATGTGAATTGACCTACCACCAGGACCTTCAGTCCTCTAACTCATTCCATTGTTCTTTTCCCTATACCATGCTACCTCCTTGCCTTCAGCTTGTAATTTAACAAAAATCAAATGGACGGCTGTTAAAAGCAGCTTGGAACTTAGAAAACAGTACATTTTCGTTCTGGTTCTAGCTCTGAAGCAAATGGCTTCATTACTGAGCCTTAGTTTCCCCATCCATAAAATAGAACAGCCAAGAAAAGCTTGGTAAACCTAGGCCAAAGAAGACAAAGACGAGGATTTGCCTGGTGTGGAATTGCTGCTTTTGTGACAAATAAGAACTGCTATGACATTCTTAGTGGTATGGGTTTCTGTGATATTTTGGAGTAGTTTGCAACTGGAAAATTGCAAATGACTTCACAAAATGCATTGATGCTCAGAAAAATGAGAATTACTCTGAAAACACATATCTTTAAAAAAAAAAAAAAAACCAAAGGTGAACAGAAATATTGCCTGAATATTTTGAATATGTGCTGGGAGAAAAGCCTGCAACTTCACTTTTCCATAAGAAAATAGGCAAAATAACCAGACAAGTTGGTAAGAATGTTAGTTCAGCTGTATTTATTATCAAAGGCAGAAAGGTATTGGGATATGAGTAAACTAAAGCCCTTTGCAGCAAGTAAGCATGACCTTCCAACTTACCATAGCTGCTTATATTTACAGACATGGAGCAGAGACATCTCATAGTCCTCAGAGTTCTGACAGCAATACTAGAGCTTTTTCATCAGCTTCCAGCTCAAATGAAAGCTCTTCAGTGCCAGGTAAGGCAGTTGCCCAGTGCCAATTATGACCTATCTGTTGATTCCTTTCCTTCCTGCAAGAAAAAATTCAAACAAAAATCACACCTAGTCAGCTTGGGTTTTGTTTTGTTTTGTTTTCCTGTTAAGGCTACACTTTCCTTATTTAGCTGGAATTTTGGGGGGCAAGTTTATGGCTTTACTACACCAAAGCAAGAAAGGCCTAGGTGGGTTTAATCAACTTTCTTCTTTTACATTTTTTTTTCACAGTGAAATTACCAATCATCCACAAACACAAATATATACATGTATGTATGGGTGTGTGTATATATGTATATATCAAAAGAGAGGATTATATATGAACCCGTGATCTCTATCACTTTGGTTTTATGAACACATATTAAACTTAACAAGGTAGTATTAAAGTTGCCATTTGCATCCACTTTAAACTTTGGGAGTTTTTTTTGGGCTAGGCAGTGAGGTTAAGTGACTTGTCCAGGGTCACACAGCTAGTGTTAGGTGTCTGAGGCCAGATTTGAACTCAGGTCCTCTTGACTCCAGGGCCGGTGCTTTATTCACTGCACAACCTAGCTGCCCCCGAACTTCATTTTGTTTTCTTCTGTATTTAATGCTTTATTGATGTTTTATAGACTTTCATTGTTTTATAGATTTTCAATCTAGTGACCAGTGTGCAACTCTGTTTTCTTCCATCCTAAAAAAGATGGACTTAAGCAGGAGGGAGAAAGGATCTAATGGCATTATAAGCTGTTTGTGAGGTCAGTCCGTTTCTCTTGCTTAAATTTCAAATTTCATTTCATTTTACATGGTTAAAGAACTGCCAGGATTTTACTTTGATCCTGAAAAGAACCGTTATTTCCGCTTGCTTCCTGGACATAACAACTGCAACCCCCTCACAAGGGAGATCATCCAGTACAAGGAGAGGGAGAGCAGAAGACTAAAGCTTTTGGAGGAAGAGGATATGCAAAAAAAGGTGAGCATTAGCCAGGAATGCAAAATGAAATATTAGATTCTCG